TTAATCCATGCATTGTATGGGTGTGCTAGATTCAATTGAACAATTGAATGCTCATACTTGTAACAATAAACAAATTAAAATGAAAATATTTCTGTGTCGCTTACTTTGTGCTGCATTTCCATTAAGGAAGGCGTTTGCCTGGGACAGGTTATGTCGGACGAAATATCACAGGGAACTGAAAGCATTTTTAGAATTCCAATTGTTTTAAAAATGATTAATTTGCACTTGCTGTTATTATTTCATATTAGAGAAGTAAGACTTATTAATGACTTAAGGCGAAAAGGGAATCGTAATTCACTTATTCTTAGAGAACGACCCTCAACATATGTCTCAATCTCCTGCAAGAACTCTTACCTCAGACCGGTACGTATATCTCAGAAATATCTAATTGAGGAAATTAGTGGTCTGAATTCCCATCCGCAGAATTATTCTAAGAGTTCCAGTCTCGGGCGTTTTACCTTATTTCAATAACAGACAATCAAAATTGTCACCCCAAACTAGCTGCAGTAGTTCACTGCAACGCAGGTATACTTTATCTACAGTATCTTACTTGGTCGATAGTAGCAATAGTATATTCTATTGTTAAATAGATCTTCTGATGGCCCGAACGGTGAAATGAGGCTATGGGCATTAGAGTTATCCTGATCTTCGTCGTCAAATTGGAGATATTCTGAAGTCACCTACAAGAAATCAATTATAAATAATCAGTGATTTTATTACTATTTAATTTATTCGTTGCTATTTTAAAATGGGTGGCGCATAGAGACTGAACCCTGCATATAGCCCTAGTTTCAAAATGTAATTTAGGAGCCCTCTTTTCGATTGGTTGTCGTAAATCCAAATCCAAAATGATCGCTACCGCCGATCAGAGCCCACAATAAATGTCACAAGGAGCCAATCAAAACTCTAAACAGAAACAAGCAAACTCCATGAGCGCGAAAACATGGTTGAAAAACCCGAAATTGGTTTTAGTTTCATGTATATGGCTTTTTTTTAGACCAGCCGCAAAGTGACGTAAAACAAAACTAAAACAATTCTAGATTTCTTCGACATCACGTAGTCTTCAAGGAATCTTATTTCCTTAACCTAACGAGTTGCAGGGGGTGAATAAGTGCTTGGATTTTTGTAATTGACAAGGATCTAAAAGAAACTTAACAGTGATTACCTAATCAGTCTCAGATTAGCTTAAACTCTCTCTTGTTTTCAGTCACCACAGAGTTTGCTCCGGAGGCGATATGTTTGTGTTAAGACATATTGCAAGAAAAACATCTATATGAGAAAAAAGGTCCTGTCATAGACGGAAACTTGCCTCGTGATATCTCACCCGCTGACACCTGTGTGAGCCATACGCAATCAGGTAAAATGGAGATCCATACGGCAAAACTATTGGTGTGGATTTTTTGCCCGAAGTGCTACAGCAAAAATAGATTGCAGTGTTTTCTCCGTATATCCCATCTGGTAGTTCTCCTCCCAGCGAATTTGGAAAATCTATATCTGTATTTTCATCGTCCCATCGAATCCAACCTAAAACCAAGACAAGAAAAATTAAGATATATGGCGGCTTTATCCGGTCTCAAGTTACCAGGCCTGAAGAACTCAGCTTTGTAAAGATATAAACCCTGAAATGTACAAAAGTGAGAGTAAAAAAGAAATACATCTGTTTATTTGCTGAAACGGAAATATTTTCCTAGATACCGTGCCAGATAATCTGATTTAAAAAGGTATACTTTTAGCATCTTTTAGGAAATGTATTCTTTTTGCAACGGTTATAGTCAGACTTGGTTATTATAACTTCAAAGATCTCATGGCCTTTTTACTTTTTTATGTCACGGTTACCTTTTGCTGTAGATGCTGATGCCGAAAACAAATCTTTAACTAGTAATGATTTTTATTTGAAAACATGCTGTAAGCTGGGTTCATTTGGCTCTAATGATTTCCGATGATGGCCCTTCATAAGGCTGACATACCCTCTTGTAAGCCGGTTGGACACGAATTTCCTTTTCTATAAATGCAATATTTTCCACTTGGCCAAGGAATCCGTTTTCCTGCTGTTTCTTTGTGAATACAGAATTCCTGTCGTATCCCATGTGGTGTCACTCTTCCCGAAAAATGACTTCCGTTTGTTTTTGTGTTCGTATTTTCGACATTTTCTGAGTCTTGATATCTGAAACCTTCCAGCCACTCTTTACTAGGGCAGCCTGACTTTGGTTTAGGAAGGCCGTAGCTCCCTGATGGCCAAGTATTTTTTACTACCAAGGCAGCTAGGAAGAAAAAAAATACTTGTGTTTGGTGGTGATATGCCGACATTTCATTTGATAACTTAAAGAGATATGTAATTATGTAAATCCTTTTTTATGTAAGGAATGCATGCACGACGCGTAGATTAAGTGTTTCCAAGAGATCAGTTTATAACCTGTTGGTGTTTCGTATTGCCAAATGTCATTCTATTGCCTTGTATTGCCAATCTCAATTCAAATTCATATCAATGACCACGGGAGTTAAGTATTTATTCAGATGGAAAGCTGCAAGCCAATTCAAGAGATATTGGGTCACGGGGTTGACTTTAGTACCAAAGTGTAAGCCACACACTCGCCTTTCTTTAAGTATACTTATATAATCACTTTTCCGAACTACTGCTTTAGAGGTAAATTGAATGAAAGCGTCTGGTTCAAAGCTTAAAAATGAAACCTTGCAAGGGAAGAAGAAACAAAATAGTGGAAAGGGAACTAACCACGACGCTGGTGTTGGTTTGTTCTTCGTTTTAGTTTAGGCCAAGTTCTGTTTGTCAAGCCTTGTATGGATAAAGAATCCTCTTGTACTGATAGTCCGTTAAGGTCACCACTCTGCACTAAGTTGAACAGATTGTAAACACTGCCTCTAGCTTTTGACTGATTGTTAAAAGACATCTCAAAATCTGCTGCAAGGTTTCCTCGTATTGTGGATATTTTATTTGCCTCATGTTCCCTAGGTGTGGTACAAAAAGTCAGAATTTTTCGTTATACATAATGAAGCTCGCTCTAAAAGCCTTTGAAATAAAAGGAAAAAAAACTTTTGCGATTGCGACAACGAAAGTTGCTAGGCTTTATTACAGAAAATAAAGTGGTAACTCAGGAAAAACAGTTTCTCACCTTAATTGAGTCACTCTGATGTATTCGAAGTTAGAATCATTTTTGAAAGCTTCTCCTATCTTTGTAAGGAATGAAAAAGCGTAAAAAAACCTCGTCGTTGTCGTAACTAACAAAGTACCCTTTTTTGGTTCTAAAGACAACGTTCAAATCTTTGAGTGCTGGCCGTATGGCAGAACTCACAATGAATCTGAAATTATCTCTGGTTTGCAAGGCTTAATTTATGAAGTGAATTCAAATAGAAAAGGTATTTTTGTTGTCTACAACTTACCGAATGCTCTATGTTGTTAACCATCACGTGATACTGAGAACTTCTGGGCGATGCTCGCAGATCTTTCCATCTCTGTTTGAATCTCAACGATCCGAAGTACATTTTACCTATATGTAAAAAAAGATGAATGGAAAAAAGATATATGTACGTAATTAACTTCAATTACGATGTCTGCATAATGATACATTTTTGGAATTAAAAAAAACCTTTCGAAGCTTTCACTAACGTATTCATAATTTTACGAAAGTTGCAAGTCTCTTTATCATTAAACTTAAAAGCCCTACCCTCCTCTGTTACAGAATTGTTAAAGATCCATACCTCCCAAAACAAACAAGTTGCTTAATAGTAGTAAGAAGCCACGCATGAAATATATCCTCATGTCCCTCAGAAAGGCGCATCATGGCGCCGGCAGGTCCTCCAGAGGAAAGAAATAACTAACGAGCGAAACAAAACGTTTGGGTTACATTTGCTGAGTATATAACATTTTAGGGACTAGTCATTATTTATCTTCTGGGGAGGGGTAGGAGAATTTTTGCTGTGTCACAAAACAATTAACTTGATCCCGCCTAAGGCTCTGTGGTATTCTAATATCCTCCCTATTTACAGTCAATCTTTTATCGTCCCCACTTTATACTCTGTTAGCGACAACTGAT